AGGGACGCGCCGGCTGGGGAATCCTGCAGACCCACGTGCGGAGGTTCTCTCCGCCCAGGCGGGGCAGGGAACGAGCAGCTGTCGTCCCAACAGCTCATTTTTTATCTTGAGGTCTTCAATTAATCTCACACCACAAATGTTCACCTTTCACGTTTACTCAGAAGGCCGCCTGTTCTTCTGATCAACTGGTAGCAAAATCGTTCCCTTAGACGCTGAATGATTTGTGGGAGTGAGGGAAAGGGTAGAAATTAGGGTAAAAGCAAGGCGACCGTGGAAACTAGTATGATTAGCAAGTACGTTTAAGTTTGCTGCATTTTGTTTGTTTGTTTTTTGTTTGATTCAAAGAGACTATGACAGATTGGACCCGTGAATTTTTAATCGTCTAAATTGAATAGGATTTCGATACATGAGCTTGGGAGTCAGGTAAAATCTCCAATGCTAACTGTGACTTTGGGCAGGTTAAATAACGGATCCGAGCCTGTTTCTTCACTGTAAAAAAAAAAAAAAGGAGAGAGAAAGGAGGAAAGAAGGAAGGAAGGAAGGAAAAATTGTGTTGAGTGTCTTCAGATTAAATGAATGAATGAGAAGTAACATACGCTTTAATACTCCGGTGTTTATTAAACACCAGGTACATGGAAATATCAAAGGTGCTCAGTAAGTGTTCGTTTTCTTTTGTCTTCTGTTGAGATGCCTTGCGTGCCTCTGTGTGTGTGTGTGTGTGTGTGTGTATTTCTTCCAATAGAGAAAATTTAGAAATTTCTCTGTGTCTGTATATATATATATATTCACACAAATATTTTGGGTTTTATGCAGGATTCTGCTCTTACAAATTGGACAGGAAAACTGGGAAACCCATTAAAGCACATGCTGATATTTCTGTAAAGAAGAAGGAATACAGGCAGAGCTGAGACTCAGTGATTTGGAGACCAAGTCTTCCTCTTTGAGTATTTTACTGTTGGACCTGTTCCCTGGAAGTCTCCAGTCTAAAATCTAAAACGCCAATTTAAAGCTATGCTGCTTTCTTTGTGAATGCTGTTAGGTAAATTTTGATTAAGTGCTTTTGAATTAAGTGTCTCTTTGGCTGTCATCAAGGGTTCAATTACTTGTAGACAACTAAGGTGTTTTGGTTTAATTCCCCCCATTTTGAGAATGACACAAACCAAGGAAATACCATAGCCAATTAAAACAGTTCCTTTATAAGAGACGTAAGCTTGCTAATGTTCAACAGCTTGACTAAAAGTGAACTGGTGTTGAAAAACAACACACATAATCAGGTCCTCTAGTTAGCTGAACTTATTTCCCTGTCAATTGTCAAGTTGAAAAGTGGCTTTTAATTTAGTAGAAAAATAGACAAATGGAAACTTGAAATCCCTAGGGGAGCAAGCAGGGCTGACTCTGTGCAGTAACACAGAGCCTCACACTTAGAAGGGCTTCTCACTTGGTTTAATGTTCTGCTGTTGCTGTCTTGAAATTCTTAATAATTTTTGAACAAGGAAGCCATCATTTCCCTGTTGCCCTGGACCTCAAAAATTTCCTAGCCAGTGCTCAGAACAAAGGAGGGAAGTGGCATAGAAAATGAAACTTATAAAACACGTGTATGTCAGACACAAGTTTCAGTCTTAAAGCAGAGTAGGTCATTCCATATGCCTTAGAGGGCAGGTATCATCATTCTCATTTTACCAAAGATGAAACAGGCCAGCAGAAACTAAGATGCTTACTCAAGATTGTGAATCTAGTAGTGGTAAATCCACTTGCCAGAGTTTTCAATAGAGAAGAATTCATTAAGAATGTTTCTTCCATAGAGGAAACCACTCCCTCTGCCCATTTTCCTTGGTGCTTCAAACACCAGACAACTTAGATATACTAGGAGGCATAAAAATAAAATTTATATGAACTAATATGTTACTTTGTTGTGGGATGAATTAGGGAAAGCATTTCTTTTAATTCTGTCTCTCCTCCCCTAGTTTTAATTAATTGGCTCCAATCTTGGAGAATTTCAGGAAATAAATATTTTAAGCATACATTATAGTTGTATATTTAAGTGCCAAATGAGGAAAGCAATTGCAAGGCAGACTAAGTATTTAATCCAAAGAAAATTATGGTTGAAACAATATTTGTTGGGGAGCATGGGGTAGCAGAGTGTGGGTAGTGGATAAAGAAACTGAGGGCATTTACAAGCTTCAGAAGTCAAGACATTATGAAATTAGCATGCATTAAAAGTGGTAACCATAAACACCCATGTCAGGGAAGGCTGGGAAATTTGCCAGTGCCTGCTTCTTTTCTCCTAGCCAAATTAGCCATATATGGTTCAGAGGAAGGACTCTAGAGGATGTTCAAGGGCTTTATGTGAAGAGTGTGAGGTTGTTTATGAATGTCTGTAGTTGATGTGGTTGGTGGCTAGGTAAGTAGAGGTTGATCACAGGGTCAAATGAACTATCTGAACTGGCGAGGCACAAAAGGCCTGGTTTTGTAGTCTTTGGCCTAGTGCAGGGGTGCAAGATATTGTCCCTGGGAGATAACCTGGCAGTATCTTGGAGGTACTTGTGGTGGTCACATCTGGGGAGATGTAGCTCTGCACTGCTGGCCTGCAATGGGTAGAGGCCAGGGCTACTGTTGAACATCCTGTAATGCACAGGACAGCCCTTCACACTGAAGTTATCAGCCTAAAGGGTCAGATGGGCCAAGCCTGGTGCCCTCTGGCCCAGGAGTGTTTACATTGTCCTTCTCCCAGATCCCTCCTCAGCTTAAGGTCCCCAGTTGTAAACTAATATGTAGAATTGGTCTTCCGTTATGTGCTTTTTAAATTATAAATAGGACATTTTTAGAGAAAGGAGGATATGAGAGAGGGAGACAAGCATTATTTAGTTGCTCTCCACTGTGGGAAATTTACATTCTGAGGCTAAACAGCAAATGCATGCATGTGCTAGGAAAGAGATTTAAGAAAAATATTCACACTTTTATGAGTTTGTGAGTTGTCCCTTAGGGTGAAAAAGGCCAGTGAGTCAGAAATAATTTACATGGCTTGGAAGCTAAAACCAGAAAGGCTTCAGATGATTGAAGGCAAGCTGTCATTATTTTTATGCTGTTGTACAATGTGCATGTTGTGCAGTATTTCCTAAATAATACTCATCCAAGGACCTCACACCTCTTGCATAAAATTTTCAGTTGTCATAAAGAAACCCTCCTCTCTCTCTCTTTTTGCACGTTACATTATACACCAAACCTGCAGTTTCAAGCTTTCTCAGTGTGACCTAAAAATATTCGCTGCATACCATTTGATTGTGGCTAAGAGAAGGTGTAAGAAGCTGGAGTTTTTCTAACAGTCAGCTTCTCTTTGCTTTGACCTTTGTGGTTCTGTAGAAGTCTGAAGAAAGGACTGAATAGTCATTTTAGCAATGACATTTAAAAAGTAGCTTCTCAGGGTGTGCTCAGTAGATTTTGCCTTGTCATTTTGGACAGAGAGAGGTGGGGACCAATGTGATCACGATAAAAGTCATTGGTCCCAGTTTGTAAATAAAGTCTGCAAGCTTCAGTCATTGACAAAAAGAGAACTTCTTGATGTCATATAGAAAGTGCAAGCAGATAGACATTGATCAGGTACACTGTGTTAGATTTATAGACACCTAATTTTAATTAGACATTTTGTTTTTAAAACTTCTTTTTCTGATGGCAAAAGTAGTTCGTGATTATTACGGAGAATTTGGAAAATATAAAAAGGAGGTAAAAAGAAAAAATCCATAATCTGCTGCTCAGAGATAACCAAGCTTTTATAGTCTTTTCATAAAGCACAACTTAAAAAGAAAGCTTTTGTTTAATTTTGCAAATAAATTTCTGTATCTGTTTCTTTATTAAACCACAAAACCATTGTGAGGTGCATTGCCTGAATGAATGACAGAAAAATCTTTGTATACATATTTGTTTTTGATATTAATTTGAAGGAAATGAATAAACATGGTCTCAACATCATTTTGGAAATGTTAATAGTTTCAATTTAATTAATAATAGTCTCCATTGTCCTGGTTTGAGTGTAATCCAAATTCTTTAAAAAGGCAAATACTTTTTTTTAATTAATTTTTTTATTTTTTGAAGAGTGATTTTATTTAGGTTTTTTTGTGGGGAAGGTAATTAGGTTTATTTATTTATTTAATTTTGAAGGAGGCACTGGGGGTTGAACCCAGGACCTTGTTCATGCTAAGCATGTACTCTACCACATGAGCTATAACGTCCCCCCTGGCAAATAATATTTTTATTTATAGGACTTATTTCTTAACGTTGATTCAAAGATTTGATTAAAGTACCTATTAATCCTAAAAGTACTGCTTGTGCCTCTGATTTAACATTTTTTTTCTTTTCATCCATTATTTAAGATATTTTAGTAAGACAGAACGGTAATAAGGCATAATGTAAAAATCTCCCATAATCTCCACTGCACTGT